CGTTCCTCTTGAACGATGAGTGCATAAGCCCGGTGTATGTCCGGAACAGGTTCGGTGGCAATAATCTGAGATCGGATGTGACCGAACTGTTCGTCGTCGAGCCCGAGCAAAAAATGATGAGTCTTCTCCTGTTCCTCGCGCGCCCGAATCAAAGCCGCAGCCTCACACCGGCAACCACACGTTGGATCAACAGATCCATATAGCTTGTTCCACAAAGTCACAAATTGGTTATAGTAGACAACTACAGTTTGTCCCTTTTGACGCAAAGATTGAAACTCAGATTTCAATTGGTGAATACGAGGTCCATTGGAACCTCCATATCTGGTCTTCAGATCTAACCATAATTCATGAGCAATTTTATGGGAGATAATGGAAGGTTGGATGTGTTCATCAACAGTGTTACAGATCCAAGAACAAATTATGGAATTATTAGCTTTCCATGCCGCCAATTCCTGTTCATCAGTGGGTTTAGGAAACCCAGAAGGATTGAGAAAACCTGCTCTACTACGCCCTTCTAGAGCATTAATAATTGTTTTCTCCCAAATATCATAATTATCACCTTTGAGAAGATGCTTCGTCAAGGAATTACCCGCACTTTCGGACGGGTGGATGTAGTACAGAGAGGTAGGGTCGTGGATGAGCCTGACCTTCTTTGTTCCTTCGCTTGCCATGGAAACGAAGATAGTACCGGCGTGAGACGGTGATTATGAGTCCGACGTGAGCCGGCGCTGCAGCGGTGGTGATCGACGTGAGCCGATCGAAGAGGGGCGACCGTGGTGTGGTGGCCGGCGAAGCAACGGTGGCGGCACCGTGCGTGAGAAAAAAGAACTAGGGTTTAAGAAGGTCCCGGGAAATTGGCTCTGATACCATGTAGAATTTTGGAAAAACTGAACTGCGTTTCATTCAATATTCACAACGTATATATACATGTGCCAAGTCCTACTCCAAGTATGGAAAGGACTACTAACAAGGAAACTAATTACACTACTAACAAGGAAACTAATTACAAAGGAAACTAATTACATATATGGTAGTAAATAAATATATATGCTAACAACACTTTTAAAAAACGGAGGGAGTACATTCCATTTATTTGCAGTTTACTCATTCCCTTTGTAAAAAAAAACGTTTATGCTTGTAAAATACTATCTAAATATCTTCACCTAGACTTATTTAATTTTAACACTTTTGGAAATTCCATACGTTTAGACTGTACCTTCTCAGTTCTCACAAAACTTTTCTAGCTAACCTTTGGAACAAAGCTACAAATGTTTGAAGAAGGAGATCGAAACGATTACAATTGCAAGGAGGGGAGTTTGAGAAATGTCAATGGGGAGGGCGTAGTGGGAGGTTAGAGTAAGTTAGGTTAGATTTAGAAAAAACAAACACATTTATGTTTATTTGGGCCAAATTAAAAATTAATGGGAAAAAGGAAAAAATGAAAGAGGGAAATCTTTTTGAAAGAGAATATTATATATTTTTTTGAGTAAATTCCATATAAAGTTCTCAGTTATAGTTCGTTTTACATATTTAGTCTCTAAATACCAAATATCAATAATTTAGTCCCCAATTATTATATTGTTTTTTAAGAATGATCCTTAATTAACATTTCTTTTAAAAACGTGAAAAAATTTGTAAATTCACGCTCCTATCTCTCCTCAATTAAGCTTTTCTCTCCTCTCGCACTCTTTTTCCAAATTCGTCGCTGAGTTTGAAGCTTTGAACCCTAAACCGAAATCATCCCTCCACTCTCAATTGTTCGTCTTCCTGATGGAATCCAAAATCGAAGCCAGTAACCTTCATGGATGAGTTTTAAGGTTTGTTTTCTTGTAATTTCTTAAAACTAATTTAACCCATAAATTTATCCATGAAGGTTATTTGTTTTGATTTTGAGTTCTCCTAGGAAGATAAACAATTGAGACAACGAATTTTTTTATATAATTTTTGCCATCAGATCAAATTCTATTTTGAAACAGCAAAAATTTTTTATACGGGTAATACTTTTGGGTTCCCCTTTATTTCTTAACGAGAGAGCAGTGCAACATCCATGCATTTTAGAGTAGAGTAATTTACCTAAATAGGACTAAAACATAATGACTTTCTCAATATAGGAGCATATGTTTTTATTTCTCAATGTAGGACCATTGATCATTATCTATTAGTCATTATTCAACTAAATGTCCAGCATCACTTGGACATTATTCTTCTCACTAGACATTATTAAGTCCTATTTAGGGAATAAAAAGGTCTAAATCTTACATTGGGAAATGACTTATGTTCAATGCTTGAAGTTATATTTCAAAAATTTAACTACTGATTAAATAAAACTAATACCTAGCTCTTTGTCTCTCATAAATCTTCTCATCACGAGGATTGACGAACTTTGTTTTCAATTTAATTTCTTTGATTGTGGATGTAAAAAACAAGATGTTACAAAAATTAAATTGTACTCCCTCCGTTTGGAAAAACCCTTCTCATTTGATCTGGGGGCAAAAATAAGGAAGTGTTAAATTATAGTTGATTTCCAATTTTGCCCCTGATGTGATGGGTAAAAGTAAGATGTGATGGATAGATTATTAGAGAAAAAGTATGATGTGATAGGTAGGGTATGAAAAAGTAAGGGTAAAAGTGGTTTTTTAATAGAAAGGGGAAATGTTTTGTTGGAAGTAGAAAAAATGAAAGAGGAAGTGTTTTTAAAAACGGAGGGAGTATTATTTTATGAAATGAATAGTAAAAATAAACCAAAAAAAATGAGTTATGTTTGACTCTATGAATAATGGAGAATTTACCTGAATATGATTAAAATATAATGACTTTTTCAAAATAGGATCATATGTTTTTATTTATTAATGTAGAACCATTGGTCCTTATTCATTAATCATTATTGAAGTAATGTTCACCATCACTGAAAATTATTCCTTCCCCTACACATTATTAAATTCTATTTAAAGAATAAAAAACGTTTAAATCCTAAATTAGAAAATGACTTACTCATTTTGTTCCTTAATTTAAACCCTTCCCATTTTGACTTTGAGCAAAGATAAAGAAAGTATAGTTTAATGACTTTATTTGGATTTATTATTTATTTTAAAAAGGAAGTGTTTTGAAGAAAGCAAAAAAAAGAATGAGGAAGTGTTTTTCCAAACGGAGGAGGGAGTATAAACTTAAATACTTAGCCAAATTAAAGCTAATATCAGTGACTGAGTAAGAAAATTAAGGAAGGAGTAAAACTGTCAAGAACAAAGTGATTCTCATAATTTCTTGATGATTGTCAATAGTGCGTGCACACAGTTCTTCGAGTTAACATTGAGTAGTCAGAACTAATCACTACGTGAAATTATTTTAGCAAAGATGCATACAACATGCATGCATAATGGCAAAAATAATGTCCGACTTCTATCGCTACACAAAACTACGTACTCTATCTCTAACCCTAGCTAGCTAGCTTTCCGGCTATATTATATTTATCCCCGAAGATTCATTTGGATTTCAAGAGGAGGGACGTGAGGCTCAAGAAGTAGTCTTCAGTGCATGGGATAGTGAGTCCGCCGGTAGGGTGCTCGTACCCAAACTCCTGCTCCGCCCACTCCAACAGATCCTGAAACAAAGCATGCTCCAAGTACTCTATCGGAACCACAAACCGCCGCCTCGCCTCCCCGACGTATACCGGAAAGTGCCCCTTTGGGACGGCGGCTTTGTCGTTGTCTTTCGTCGCCCTAATGCTCCCTTTCTTGGGAGAGAGCGTCCTTGCGAGCTTCTTCTTTGCTTCTGAAATCCCAACAAGTCTCATGATCATCCCCATTTTATGTATATGAATATGAATGAATATATCAAAGAAAGCTTTCAAGTAGATGATGATGATGAGTTGATGATGACCCTTTCCCAAGCTTCCTCCCCTATATATAGAGAGAGAGACACTTTCTACGTATGCATGAATATAATATGCCAGGTGTGGGGATTAATTATTATATTGGCAAAGAAAATTAAATAAGGTTTCACGTGGATGTGTCTTGGGAATACGTAATATTGTTTGTATATATGGGTAGTAGACGAAAGTTCGGGGAAATAAGGCACAATTTTTGTACGTCCCAAATGAAATAAAATAAAGGTGTACGAACAGAACAAACCACTCACCAGCCGACTGGTTAAGCATTATCCTCCATGTACGTAGGATCCCTTAGTCAGATCAGATCACAGAGACTCCATCTTTTTCTTTTTTTACTTCAATTTTTTGTGTCATTGAACTTAGACATGTTTTTTGTCTAGTGTGGAGGCAGTCTTTATTTTGTGTCTCTCCTCTATATAACCTTTGGGACCCGGCCGTTTCAACTATACATGTTAAATTATACGTACATACACCACCATACATTTGCGGGATATTTTGCAACTTTATCCCATGTGGATACCAATTACCATCTGCTTATATTTTTCACGTACGGTAATTGTTGGTAAAAAATGGAGAGAGTAGTGAATTAGTGATATCATCCCAAGTGCTATTGTTAGTATAATTTATTTTAATATTCGAGTCAAAACTAAATTCACACTATATAATTTAGAAAACGATTCCGAGTATATCAAAAGTTACATTATACTCCGTACTTCATACAAAAATTGACATAATAACAACATTATTTTATTAATTGAGTAATATATTACTCCCTCTGTTCTCAAAAACACTTTCTCTTTCATTTTTTCCACTTCCAACAAAACACTTCTCCTTTCTATTAAAATACTCCCCTCGTTTGGAAAAACACTTCCCATTTGGATTTGGGGCAAAAATAAGGAAGTGTTAAATTATACTCCCTCCGTCCCAAAAAGAATGGGACGGTTTGACTTTTTGGGAAATTAAGGGAGGGATATTTTGGTATTGACTTTCCAAAAATACCCTTGATGTGATGGGTAAAAGTAGGATGTGATAGGTAGATTATTAGAAAAAAGGTATGATGTGTAGGTAGGGTATGAAAAAGTAAGGGGTAAAAGTAGTTTTTTAATAGAAATGTAACGGACTTTACGGGACGCAGTTTTTTCTAAACGTAACAAACTTTTTGGGACGGAGGGAGTAGTTGATTTCCAATTTTGCCCCTGATGTGATGGGTAAAAGTAAGATGTGATGGATAGATTATTAGAGAAAACGTATGATGTGATAGGTAGGTATGAAAAAGTAAGGGTAAAAGTGGTTTTTTAATAGAAAGGGGAAATGTTTTGTTGGAAGTGGAAAAAATGAAAGAGGAAGTGTTTTTGAGAACGGAAAGAGTACCACTTTTACTCTTACTTTTTCATACCCTACCTATCACATCATACTTTTTCTCTAATAATCTATCCATCACATCAGGGGAAAAATTGGAAATCAACTACTACCTCCGTCCCACTGTCTTTGTCCACTTTTGACTTTTGGAACTGTTCATCTAAGCACTTTGACTCATCAAATTCTCTCAATGTGTAAGCTTAAATATAGTCATGTGTGATCTTGTTTGATTTGTCTTGACATATAGATTATTAATATATAATTTCTATAATTTTTTAATATACAAATTACAAGATAAAATGGATTAAAGAAGTGCATTGGATGGTGTGCCAAAAGGTAAGTGGACAAAGACAGTGGGACGGAGGGAGTATAATTTAACACTTCCTTATTTTTGCCCCCAAATCAAATGGGAAGGGTTTTTCTAAACGGAGGGAGTATAATATGCACAAAAATAACTACTCCCTCCTTATTAAAATGTTCTACTCGTTTCTGTTTATGAGATTTGATCGACTTTATTTTCAATTCAATTTATTTGATTGTAGATGTAAAATAAAAAAAATAAAAGTTGGACTGTGTGAATAATGACTTGGAGAACGTTTTAAGACGGAGAGAGTATATAAATAATAAAGGCACGGTTCCATTATTCTAGCAGTGTTATTGAGTTTTTGAAGCACTTCGGGTGTTTCAATCGAAAAATTAATGGTTCATATCCTCCTAACCCACTTCTAAACCCCCAATCCTAACTCCACCCCTACCCCTACCCCCATCCTTACCCCGCCCTAATAGGGCCCCCTCCAAATGCATGACTATTTTATTAAATGATTAATAAATTAAAAATATGCAAAAAAAAAGAAAAGAAAAGAGAGACTACATCATCGGGGTATAATTAAAGTAAATCCATGTGTGGGCATATGTGAACAAGATCGAGTTTTGGTAGCATGCATGCACGTGTCCACGCGATAATCTCATTAATAATGTATTAGCGGGTTTTAGCTGTACGTGTGGATGTTTATGTCAACGGAGGCGCACTTGAGTATTATTGATAAGTGTATTAATTAGTTGGCTAGTGTACGTGCAAGTGACATGCATTAATATACTCTCTCCGTCCATGTATGATCTTTCCATTACGCGTTACGAAGCTTGACCGACTTTATTTTCAATTCAATTTAATTGATTATAGGAGTAAAATTTTAAAATAAAATTTATATAGTAATAAACTACATGAAAAGTTCTACAAAACTAGAGGTGACAAGAATATATTATTTTATGAAATGACTAGTAAAATTGAGTAAACAAAGTGAGTAAAATTTGACCCTGTGAATAGTGACTGGGAAAATCTATGGTGGACAGAGGGAGTAATTGATTGTGCCTTGGCCTTGATTAACTACTCGCGGGCAAATCCCCTTTAGTTTGGAGAATTATTGAATTTGTTTGAAGCAGTCCTCCTAGCTAGGTCTAATCACATGGGAATTCATGCACATTTCATATGCTATACCTCACATCCGAATCAAATGTACGCCTAGTCTATCTGCACCCATATGTTGTTGAGTTGTTAGAAATCTTTTTAAGAGAATTTACTCAAATGACACTAAAACATACTCCCTCCGTCCCCCTAAGATGTTCTCATTTTGACTTTTGGTGGTTTTTAAGGAGAGTTGAAAAAAGGTGAAAGTTTACTATAATACCCTTAATGGAAAATGGATGGAGTGTATTAAATGAGGTGGGTGAGGTGTAATAAATAAAGTAAGTGGGGGTAGTTGTGGTATTTTAATTGTTGAAAAATGAAATGAGAAGATCTATTGTGGACAAAGAAAAAGGGCTATTGAGAAGATCTATGAGGGACGGAGGGAGTAATGATTTTCCTTAAAACATATGCTACCTCCGTTCCATAAAGTCAGTACCGTTTCGAAAAATTTGCGTCCCTTAAAGTCCGTCTCATTTCTATTAAAAAATCACTTTTAACCCTTATTTTTTCATACACTACCTATCACATCATACATTTTTCCTAATAATCTAACATCACATTCTACTTTTACCCATCACATCAAGGGTATTTTTGGAAAGTCAACACAAAATTAACCCTCCTTATTTTACAACTTTAGTCAAACCGTTCTAATCTTTATGTGACGGATGTAGTATAAGTCATTTCCCAATGTAGGACTTAAAACTTTTTTATTCCCTTAAAATGACTTAATAATGTATAGTGGAAGGAATAATGTCCAATATAATGATGGACATTTAGTTGAATAATGACTAATTGATAATGACCAAAAATCTTACATTTGTGAAATAAAAACATATGGTCATATATTGATAAAATCATTATGTTTTAGTTCTACTTATGTAAATTATTTTTTTATGAATTTATATGTGGAATTTTCGTAAATAGTACTAAAATATACTCCGCAATGAATTTTCCTAAATAGCATCACATGTATTTCTTCTCCAATGTATCACTTTTAGTCATTATCCATTAGTCATTATTCAAGCAAATGTTTCTATCACTACACATTATTAAGAACTATTTATTGAATAAAATAATTTGAAATGCTATTTAAAGAAATGACTTAAGTTTTAGTGCTATTTAGGACAAGTATTTGTATATATATATTGAGTCAAACTAGATGCATGATAACTTTTGTTTGAATTCATTAGTAACAATACGTAGTTAACGCTAACGTACACGTTTACTAGCAATTGCTAATACAAGGCCGGCGTCTAGCTATCACTATACACACCTATCCCTATCTGTACGTCTATCTATCTTCTTATCGAAACCACGTATGGATCTTTATTTGGAATCGATGAGGAGGGAAGCGAGGCTCAAGAAGTAGTCCTCAGTGCATGGGATAGTGAGTCCCCCGGTGGGGTGCTCGTACCCAAACTCCTGCTCCGCCCAGTCCAACAGATCCCGGAACAGTGCATGCTCCAAGTACTCTATCGGAACCACGAACCGCCGCCTCGCCTCCCCGACGTATACCGTAAAGTGGCCCTTAGGGACGGCGACTTTGTCGTCTTTCGTCGCCCTAATGCTTCCTTTCTTGGGAGAGAGTGTCCTTGCTAGCTTCTTCTTTGCTTCGGAAATCCCAACTAGTCTCTTCATGATCAACCCCATTTTATGCACTAAGTATATATATGAATATGAATGAATATCAAAGCAAGCTTTGAAGTTTATAATGGATTGGAGTTGGTATTGATGATGATGATGATGAGTGATGACCATTTGTCTAGCTTCTCCCTACATATATATAGTATACGTATGTAGGTCATCATCATGCATGAGAGATATATTGACGTGGCCGGTAACATGCCATGCCATTTGCATTGTGAAGATATATTGTTTACCAAGCAAGCAAATAAAGATTCACGTGGACGTGTCTAGCTACCTTAGCTCTCTATGAAGCTTCGAGGAAATATATACATGACACACCTTGTAAAAAAATAAAATAAAGAAGCTGCATGTACGAACACAACAAAATTAAAGCAAATCACCAGCAGCCAACTGGAACTGGAACCTTTATCATTTCTTTGGTGATATATGGGGATCGATACCTTCTTTGTCAGACGATAATAATGCTCTCTAGTTACTTTTGAAGTTCCATATTTTTGGGGCATTGAACATGGACGGACCACCCTTTTTTGTCTTGAGGACTTGTCGTCATATGGCCTATTCAATTCCCTGTCTATATTTTACAACACCTTTAGGCCCCCCCAACTCATATATATGCATGTTATATACTCCCCATTCTCGATTTGATTTTCTAAGGGCTCCAAAATGTTAGACTTATCACATCGAAAAATAAAGAAAAATATCTCTATCATATATGAAGGTTGAAAGTCTACCTATTAATTAGTTTAAGTTTTTTTGTCAGAAGAGTAGATCCCGACTCTATATGTAATTAACATGGTATCGGAGCAAGTCTGGCCTGGGCTCGATTCTTTCTGGTTGTTTGGACGTGGATTTAAGAAAATGAGCTACCCGTTCGTGGGTTGGGTTGAGTTGGCTATAGCCTATAAGAGATTTAGATACCAACGCGTGTTCTGTGGGCTAGCTATTTTATAGAAAGTTGAAGTTTTACTTCTTAGTTTAAGCTTTTTGGTTAGAATAATGGATCCCTATTTTATATGTAAGTGGCTAATTTTACCTAACACTTAATTCGTTGTTCTCGATCAACAACATTTTAACACGGAAAAGTGTGGTAAGTGGTTAACATTTATTCTTTTTAAAAAATTGTAAGATTTTAGTCTCTAGTTTTGTCATTACTTTATAGTAAATAAAATAAGATATGATAGTTAAATTTATACGGAGTAATGAATAGATATGATGGGAAATTTAAGTTATAATCTCCACTTTTGTCATTATCCTTAGGAGCATAAATTGTGATGGAATTATTGACTACCTTCTTCAAGGCATATTGAAAAGACATTGTTGTTACCCTGCTTTGAATCAGCATATATTGATTAATTAACTCGTAGAACAATCGCTAGAGAAAAGATTTGATTACTTGAGGATCATTCCGCTCATCAAATATTGTACGGAGTATCAAATCATTTTGTACAAGAAAAGATTATACATATATATATATATATCCGGAAAATGCTAAAAACCCCCCCTTGCTACCAACCATGCCCCCTATATAAACATGTGGTAGGGAGGCAAGAAAATTAAAATTAGAGGGTGGGTGGAGAATGGGTAGAGATAAATATGTGGTGGAGAAGTGGATGGAACCAAGGTTAGTAGTAAGGGTGATGTGTGTGTAGCACGGTCCTATATATCCGGCCTCTTGCACAATTATTATCAACATTACAATATATAATAGCGTATCGATCTTTCTCACTTTGGCAACGTGAAATATGCTTTGAATGAATTATTCTCCGTACGTGCAATGTCTCTCCCTCTTAATCATGCAAACTTTTGTCTATGTGTTATCCAATTTGTGGGATTAACTACCTATCAGAGTATCCTTTTAGAATCACCCGCATGATATATCCTTTTTTTATTTTAAGAATGAAAGTACGTCATGATATTAAAGCTCCTTAAATTAGTTATTAGAAAAGAGCGAGTTTGATTATTCTTTACAACTTATTTTTATTACTTATTGCTTATTTTTATTGTATATATTAGATCATAACAGATTAAATCAAATTAAATCAAATTTAATATATATAACTACAATCAGATCAGAACTAATTCTAATCAAATCAGAACCAATCAGATCGAGTGAAGAAAACAAGACCTCAAACTACTTAGCTACTATTTTATTTTACAGAATAGAAACTACTCCATATTTTCTATTATGGATAATAGAAAATAGAGTACTCATATTATTTAATACAACCTTAATTGAAAATATATTCACTATATATATGGATAAAACTTTCATTCTTCAATAAAATTAATTATTATCAAATTACATCATGGTATCAAGAGTTAGCATTTCTCATCTCCAAAAAAACAAAGAGTGAGCATTCCAATCAATTGTTGTCCCTTATCTTTCTTTTTCTCTCCAAAAAATCAAAAAATTATGAGGGTGCATACCTAATAGCTTGCGTCATTTTTTCCTCTCTCTGTCCAACAAAATCATTTGGGTGATGAAAAAAACTGGAAACTCACATTTTCCTGTATTTATTCTAAATTTTGAGAGCATGGAAAACGGAAAGTGATAGAAAATCAGAGAACGACTCACAAGCAATAAGACTAAACATAAGTGATTTTCCAATGTAGGACTTAAACTTTTTTATTCCCTAAATAGGACTTAATAATGTCTAATGAGAAGAATAATACTCCCTCTGTCCCCCATAGATCTTCCCAATAGCCATTTTTCTTTGTCCACAATAGATCTTCGCATTTCATTTTTTAATAATTAAAATAATACAACTACCCCCACTTACTTTATTTATTACATCTCACTCACCTCATTTAATACACTCCACCCATTTTCATTAAGAGTATTATGATAAACTTTCACATTTTTTCAACTCTCCTTAAAAACCACAAAAAGTCAAAATGAGAACATCGTAGGGGGACGGAGAGAGTATTCAAGTAGTGCTAGACATTTAGTTGAATAATGATTAATAGATAATGACCAATAGCTCTACATTGGGAAATAAAAATATATGGTACTATATTGAGAAAGTCATTATGTTTTAGTCTTATTTAGGTAAATTCCTCGAAAGGAAATTCCACCTCCTCGCTCCAATATTTTTCATATCATATTCTTTTTATTTCTTTCGAATCCAATGAACCAAACGTCGAGGAAACGAAATACTGCTGCATGAAGAGTAAAAACAATATCAAGAATAATTTTGTAGGAAGACTTGTTTGAATTCAATATAATTCATTATAATTTTGTAGTCGACACTAACGCCGGCGTCTGTGACTATACAATACATCCTCTAACTATAGCTATCTATCATTTCCTCGAAGTTTATATTTATTTGGAATTGATCATGAGGAGGGACGTGAGGCTCAAGAAGTAGTCCTCAGTGCATGGGATAGTGAGTCCCCCGGTAGGGTGCTCGTACCCAAACTCCTGCTCCGCCCAGTCCAACAGATCCCGGAACAGTGCATGCTCCAAGTACTCTATCGGAACCACGAACCGCCGCCTCGCCTCCCCGACGTACACCGGAAAGTGGCCCTTCGGAACGGCGACTTTGTCATCTTTCGTCGCCCTAATGCTCCCTTTCTTGTTAGGAGAGAGCGTCCTTGCGAGCTTCTTCTTTGCTTCGGAAATCCCAACAAGTCTCTTCATGATCAACCCCATGTAATAATTAATGAGTAATTAAGTGTATGAATTGAATAAAGATATCAAAGCAAGCTTGCTTTCAAGTTGGTGTTGATGATTTGATGAGATGACCTTTCTCTTGCTTCCCCTCCCTATATATATGTATTTGGAATTGGGAAATGCTAAAGGAGATTATTGATCCAATGTAACATATATGCACGCCAGTTGTGAAGATCACGAAGCAAGCAAATAAAGATATAATCACGTGGACGTGCCTGCCCTAGCCTCTCTAATGTGTAAACTAACGAAGCTTCGGGGAAAGATATATTAGGCATGGCACTAGCTAGCTCTAAACTTGTACTTGTTCTGGATTTAATAGAGCTGCATGCATAGAAACAAACCACTTGATCAGCAGCTGCAGAGTTGTGTTCAATTTGGTGTCTTTATTCTACTACAAAAACCTTTGGGTCCCCATTCATTTATTCATACATGTTACTATATGATTTGCTATGCGATATGCTAGCTAGCTAGCTTGTTTTACTTTTTTTTTCTTTTGTCTATAAATCCATGTGTACGCATATGTAGTGGAATTGGATATCTTTGGGTTGGCCATCTCATTAAATACTTCCTCTGTGTCTCGGAGTAGACTTTTACCATCTCTAATTTAATACTTTGATCTTAAATATCGATTTTTTACATAAATATTTTTTTGAATGGGAGGAGTACTTAGGTTCCTAATTTAACTTTCCTTTTTAATCTTTTATACATGTGGAATTTTAAAAAGAAAACCTTTTTTGGGAAATTAAATCGATTATAAAAAATACGGAGTACGTATTTTTTTAGTTGTGGGGTTTGTGTGCTGGAATGGTTGAGGCATGCAAAATGCGAAAAACAAGTAGGCTCCAATTCACGTGGACTCCAACCTTCCCATGCAAGTTCCCCTGCCACGTAGTCGTTTTTATTAAAGTGTACAGTACTACGTTGTTATACGTCAGGGGAAATTAAAAAGGGTATATTATACACGTAATTAAACGTGGTACATACATAATATAGTTGTGCATGCATGCGTGGCACAAACCAGATGATGATGGCGCATCGCACCTCAGGTGGTCATGTCCGTCTTATATATGTGCATGTGGACCCATTATCATCATCATCATCATCATTCACCTAGCTCATATTGTCTTGAGAGTTCCATCGCACTGGAAAAAAAAGAAAGAAAGGGTGCCCGATATTAATTTTATACTCGGTATATAAATTTTATGGCCAAATAGCTCCGGTGCTCTGCGTGGTTAGAAAAATTGACATCAATATCTCTCTCTTTTCAAAACTTGTTTCTAAAATTCTTCGTGATTTCAAAATGTTGCACCCACACCCCTCTGGTCATTTTCCGGCCATATTCCGGTGAAGAGGAAGCATTATCACATAATTTCTAAACCATATGAGGCATTCGTGCCCATTTCTTATTTTCGTTTATTATTTGTGTTTTCCTTTTTTTTAAATATTTTCTATCTCTTTTTCCTTTTCCAAGAATTTTTTTAAAATATATTTTCAATTTTTTATAATGTTTTAAAAATTTTAAAAAACTTTGTGTTTGAATTAAAAATAAAAATAAAAAAATTAACATACATTACATCTATCTCAAATTAAACATTTTCACTTTTTGTTACTTAGAATAATTTTTTGGAAAGTTAAAAAAAACCAGAATAAAAAAATAAAAAAAATGAAAAAACGAAATGAAAAAATTAAAATACGCAAAGAAAAGTCTTAAACAAAAAAAATTGGACACACCTAAAAAAGTCGTTAGAATTGAGATGTCCAAAAAGGATATTAATTTTTATTTTTGTTTTATTTTGTTTCTTATTTTATTCCTCATTTTTTGAAGTTCTCAAAAAAAATTACTCTTACTTTTTTTTCGGAAAAAAAACAAAAAATTTTAATTTGTGACGTACATATGCATTATATGTTAATTTTTTCAAACAAAAATAACTTTAAATTTTAAGAACATGATAAAAATAATTTTAAAAAACCTTTATTAATAAATGAAGCAAAAACAGAGAAAAATGAAAAAAAAGTGAGAAATAAAAATCAGCACTGATACCCCTATGGTTTAAAAAATATGTACCAATGCCCCCTTCTTTGCCAGAAAATGATCAGAGGGGCGCGAATGCAGCATTTTGAAACCACGTGAACTTTAGAAATAAGTTTTGAAAACAGAGAGGGTATTGGTGCATGTTTTGCAAACCACGAGGGGTACCAGCGCTATTCAGCCTTAATTTTATCGCTAAATGATTTTATGATACTTGTGTGTTTGGATTATTGTACAAAATTGCAATAACTCAATGTGTCCCGTCTAGGGTTGTAAACGAATCGAATCGAATATTTATGAAAAATATATGTATTCTGATACAATTTGATAATAACTTATCTTATTGAATATTGAGAGATATGACCCTATATATAGGGAATACAAGAGTAATCAAAGTACAAGTAGGAAAGGAAAGAATAATCCTAGTAGAAAAGGAAAGAAGTATCCTAATTTAATTATACTTCCTAATATCCCCCCGCAAGCTGATCAACGGAGACGAGGGGCAGCTTGGAACATAAGTACTCAAAAGGAACTGGCGGAAGCGGTTTGGTAAGAATGTCTGCTAGCTGCTCTGAGGAGGAAACATGATGTGGAGTCATAGTGCCTGCCATAACCTCATCTCGTACAAAGTGACACTCTGTGCCCACATGCTTCATGCGATCATGAAGAACCAGATTTTTGGTGACACAGATAATCGACTCATTGTCACAGTATAACTTCGGTTTGGACGGAGGAATACCCAGTGCATCAGTGATATATCGAAGCCACATAGCTTCTGCAACCCCTGCAGCCATAGCTCGATATTCAGCTTCAGTGGATGATCTAGAAACACGAGTCTGCTTTTTCGTGCACCAAGAGATGATATTAGGACCGAGTAGGAGTATGTAGCCCGTGGTAGACTTGCGATCATCTTTATCATTGGCCCAGTCAGAGTCAGAGTAGACAGATAGGTCGAATCCCCCCTTGCGAAAAAGAAGACCATGATTCAAAGTGCCTTTGAGATAGCGCAAAACGCGTTGCAAGGCATGATAGTCCTGCTCAGTGGGGTTGTGCATAGTCTGAGACACTCGATTAACA